ATCCACACTGCCCATTTAGCAGACTGAGGCAAAGAAATTACACCAGTGCAATGAATGTGGTAGAGAATCAGAGAACTAATTCTGAATTACGGCGGCTAACTTATTCATCTGATGCTGACAGGCAGCCATGTCTGGGGCAGAATCCTGTCACCATTTTGTACCAACAACACTTACAAAGGTGAGAGAAAAGAAATAAAATTCTATCTGTCCTGTTTACTGAGCTCCAAGTAGGAGAATCATTACTCACACTACAACTTTGGCAAAAGTTCCACTGCTCTTCTCTAACTGTTACTTTTACCAAAGTGCCAGAGCAGGTTGAAGATTAGTATGGGATGACACTCCTGGTCCACGTACAGAATAAATGGATGCAAGATAAAGATGCATAAAGCATGTATTGTAACAAAAAAAAAAAAAAAATCCAGTTCTCCCTTTTCACTGACCTTTTTTCATTGGTGCTTTGATTTGCATGATTTTCTTCACTATGTAGCTCAGGAGTGGCACCAGCTAGCACCAAGAGAATGGCTTGCTGAGTACACAGGAACAGCTTTCTGGTGGCTTCTTGTTTAACCATAGCTGCCGTCATTGTTGACATCGCTTCTCCCAACCCCCGCCCTGCAAAGCGCCAATTCAGACCAGCTAAACTGCAGCCAACTTCAAACTTTCCTCCCTCTTCCCTGGTAACTCTGCGTTCTGGGAGTGCTAGCAGTTCAGGGATCACAGGATGACTCAAGCTGGTAGGAACCTCAGGAAGCCTCTAGTCTGACCTGTTCCACTGCTTGGCTGTCCTCAGGGTAAAAAAGCTTTTCCTTATATCCCACGCAAATCTCATTTCAGTTCATGCTCGTTATTTCTGATTCTTCCACTATGCATCACCCTGAAGAGCCTGGCTCTGTCTTCTTGAAAACCTCCCCATCTGTGTTAGAAGGCTGCTATTAGGTTCCCCTGAAGATGCCTCATCTCCAGGCTGGTCAAATGCAGCTCCCCCAGCCTCTCCTCACTGGCCAAGTACTCCAACCCCTGACAATCTTGGGGGACTCCACTGAACTCAACCCAGTTTACAGATGTCTTTCTTGTATTGGGGTCCCAAAACTGGATGAAGTATCTAGAAGTGGTCTGATGAGGGCTGAGCAGAGGGCATAATCACTTCAGACTACTGGCTCCAATCCTGTCAGTACAGCCTGGGATGCTGGTGCCCTTCCTTGCTGCCAGGGCACCCTGCAGGCTTATGCCCTGCTTCACTGAGCAACAGGACCCCACACCCTTTTCTGCAGAGCTGTGGCCCAGGCAGCCAGGGCCCAGCCTGCTGTGCTGCAGCATTGTTCTTCTTTCCCAAGTTCAGGACTTTGCGCTTATCCCTGCCGAACTTTGTAACATTTCTGTCAGCGCATTCCTCCCGCCTGACGAAGTTCTCCTGAACGGCAATCCTACAATATGCTTTAAGAAAATTCAGAATAAAGACATCCATCAGCAATTTTGGCACAGATGCAGAGATTTCAGTACTGTGACCAAAACTGAATTGCCTGCAGAGCTTCAGATGCAGAATCCCTTCAGTATTTCACAGCTTAAGAATGTGGTTTCCTTTGGCAGCCCACAGACACCACCACTGAAACCGGTCTCCAACCTAAACAGTCTACTGGCTGAAGTCCATCTCATTCTTATGTCTCTTTAGCCCATCCCTATAGCGGCTTTACTTGGATGACATTTACTTTTGTCCCATTGTGTTTACTGTTGTCATCTATTTGCTGAGTGTCATCACTGGTGATAATAAAAATTATAGAGGAAGAGCTGAAAGTCACTTTCTTCTTTGGCCTGTCCCCTGCTTTCTGAGACATAACTATTGGTCGTATTGGTTTGTCATTCCCCGTTGCTGGTGTCTCCTTCACAGCCCTCTGGAATCTCATCAGGCGAAAGCACAGGAGTTGCAAGAGGCATCGTCGAAACTGCAAGAGGGAATAAATAGAATGAAGTTACAACTTCCTAAGCGTTCACTATCACGTACAATCCAGTGAAGACAGCAGTATAGTAAATGACTCAAAATAACATTTCTGCATATCTCCACCTTGTTATGAGTTAGTTTCAGTGCTGTAACAAACACGGTGGCTTTTTAGTGGGTACTTTCTTCCCCCCTCCACCAAAGAGCTGAATAGGATCACCTAGCCAGTAGAGGGCACTGAAATGCAATTTAATATTTTACTGGCAGCAAGATCTGCAATCGGCAATCTGCAAACAAGAGGACTAGGCTCCAAAGTGTGATATAGGTATTGTTCCCATCTTTGAGTATTCAAAAATCACATATTTGATCTAGCAGGGAAAGAATATTCTCAGAAACACTTCACAGGAGTATGCAGAGGGAAGGAACAAGGGGAGGCAGGTGATACTTAAAAGGAAGAAAACTTCATTTTTTAACTCAAGGGTCTGGAATTTTAACAAAAGCATTGAATGTCACAGGTAGAAAATAAAATTTCAAAAGGTTGGTAACACAGAACTAAAATGTTCCCATTGAATATAGAAGGAACAGAAGTCTTTCAGCTAATTAGAAGCCATTTATGATACAGGGAGTCTGTTCTACCTTGTGATTAAATAATGCAAAGTATTCAGTGAAAGCTCACATCAGTATACAGCATGACAATTCCACTAGTAATGCTGTTTTAAATGCTTCAATTATGGTCTCCCCTTCACAAAGCAAAGCATTTAGGTATGGGGGTTAAAGGATGCACTCATTCAGTAGTTCATGTCTGCACCCATCTAAAGCTCCGATATGATCCTCTGGGGAAATTCTCTGGTTTTACAGGAAAAAAAGTGGGCAGCTTCCTCTTCTTTTAATAACCCATAGCAAGACATGCCTGGAATGTATGAAGAGGACTTAAAAAACCTAAACAAACAAACAGACCCCCCCCAACAACAACAAATGGGGCAGGGGAGGAAACAACCCACCTTTTCTCTGAAAAGGGAGTAGGACATGTTTCTCAACAGCCTTCCATTTAGCTGTGTTCAGGATTATTCTGTATTATCCTGCATGGTCAATGACTTTGCTTTTCCAGCTGTTACACAAGGAGGTCTCTGACATGCCAGTTTGGAACAAGGTTTTGTTGTAGGAAATTAATCCTACTCTGACACAGGGGAGGCAATGGGTCCTGTTGGGAAGGGGACCTAGAAAGTTACAAGATGATAGAGAAAGGTAACCTGGTGCTATGTGAAAACACAAGAGAACGGTCATGTGGAGGCCTTGAAGACTGCAGAGACAATGTGGTACCTTTGAGTAGCGTGGAAGTGAGAAGGCACAAGCATGTCAGAACAGATCAGAGAAAGGAAGGATATTATAGAAAACAACTGGTTTTAGGATTCCTTCTGAGGGCAAAATAACCCAGAAGATGAGCAAAAATATTATTGTTTTGGTCTTAATCTCTGATTTACGGCGCCTAACTTGTTCATCTGATGCTGACAGGCAGCCATGTCTGGGGCAGAATCCTGTCACCATTTTGTACCAACAACACTTACAAAGGTGAGAGAAAAGAAATAAAATTCTATCTGTCCTGTTTACTGAGCTCCAAGTAGGAGAATCATTACTCACACTACAACTTTGGCAAAAGTTCCACTGCTCTTCTCTAACTGTTACTTTTACCAAAGTGCCAGAGCAGGTTGAAGATTAGTATGGGATGACACTCCTGGTCCACGTACAGAATAAATGGATGCAAGATAAAGATGCATAAAGCATGTATTGTAACAAAAAAAAAAAAAAAATCCAGTTCTCCCTTTTCACTGACCTTTTTTCATTGGTGCTTTGATTTGCATGATTTTCTTCACTATGTAGCTCAGGAGTGGCACCAGCTAGCACCAAGAGAATGGCTTGCTGAGTACACAGGAACAGCTTTCTGGTGGCTTCTGGTTTAACCATAGCTGCAGTCATTGTTGACATCACTTCTCCCAACCCCCGCCCTGCAAAGCGCCAATTCAGACCAGCTAAACTGCAGCCAACTTCAAACTTTCCTCCCTCTTCCCTGGTAACTCTGCGTTCTGGGAGTGCTAGCAGTTCAGGGATCACAGGATGACTCAAGCTGGTAGGAACCTCAGGAAGCCTCTAGTCTGACCTGTTCCACTGCTTGGCTGTCCTCAGGGTAAAAAAGCTTTTCCTTATATCCCACGCAAATCTCATTTCAGTTCATGCTCGTTATTTCTGATTCTTCCACTATGCATCACCCTGAAGAGCCTGGCTCTGTCTTCTTGAAAACCTCCCCATCTGTGTTAGAAGGCTGCTATTAGGTTCCCCTGAAGATGCCTCATCTCCAGGCTGGTCAAATGCAGCTCCCCCAGCCTCTCCTCACTGGCCAAGTACTCCAACCCCTGACAATCTTGGGGGACTCCACTGAACTCAACCCAGTTTACAGATGTCTTTCTTGTATTGGGGTCCCAAAACTGGATGAAGTATCTAGAAGTGGTCTGATGAGGGCTGAGCAGAGGGCATAATCACTTCAGACTACTGGCTCCAATCCTGTCAGTACAGCCTGGGATGCTGGTGCCCTTCCTTGCTGCCAGGGCACCCTGCAGGCTTATGCCCTGCTTCACTGAGCAACAGGACCCCACACCCTTTTCTGCAGAGCTGTGGCCCAGGCAGCCAGGGCCCAGCCTGCTGTGCTGCAGCATTGTTCTTCTTTCCCAAGTTCAGGACTTTGCGCTTATCCCTGCCGAACTTTGTAACATTTCTGTCAGCGCATTCCTCCCGCCTGACGAAGTTCTCCTGAACGGCAATCCTACAATATGCTTTAAGAAAATTCAGAATAAAGACATCCATCAGCAATTTTGGCACAGATGCAGAGATTTCAGTACTGTGACCAAAACTGAATTGCCTGCAGAGCTTCAGATGCAGAATCCCTTCAGTATTTCACAGCTTAAGAATGTGGTTTCCTTTGGCAGCCCACAGACACCACCACTGAAACCGGTCTCCAACCTAAACAGTCTACTGGCTGAAGTCCATCTCATTCTTATGTCTCTTTAGCCCATCCCTATAGCGGCTTTACTTGGATGACATTTACTTTTGTCCCATTGTGTTTACTGTTGTCATCTATTTGCTGAGTGTCATCACTGGTGATAATAAAAATTATAGAGGAAGAGCTGAAAGTCACTTTCTTCTTTGGCCTGTCCCCTGCTTTCTGAGACATAACTATTGGTCGTATTGGTTTGTCATTCCCCGTTGCTGGTGTCTCCTTCACAGCCCTCTGGAATCTCATCAGGCGAAAGCACAGGAGTTGCAAGAGGCATCGTCGAAACTGCAAGAGGGAATAAATAGAATGAAGTTACAACTTCCTAAGCGTTCACTATCACGTACAATCCAGTGAAGACAGCAGTATAGTAAATGACTCAAAATAACATTTCTGCATATCTCCACCTTGTTATGAGTTAGTTTCAGTGCTGTAACAAACACGGTGGCTTTTTAGTGGGTACTTTCTTCCCCCCCTCCACCAAAGAGCTGAATAGGATCACCTAGCCAGTAGAGGGCACTGAAATGCAATTTAATATTTTACTGGCAGCAAGATCTGCAATCGGCAATCTGCAAACAAGAGGACTAGGCTCCAAAGTGTGATATAGGTATTGTTCCCATCTTTGAGTATTCAAAAATCACATATTTGATCTAGCAGGGAAAGAATATTCTCAGAAACACTTCACAGGAGTATGCAGAGGGAAGGAACAAGGGGAGGCAGGTGATACTTAAAAGGAAGAAAACTTCATTTTTTAACTCAAGGGTCTGGAATTTTAACAAAAGCATTGAATGTCACAGGTAGAAAATAAAATTTCAAAAGGTTGGTAACACAGAACTAAAATGTTCCCATTGAATATAGAAGGAACAGAAGTCTTTCAGCTAATTAGAAGCCATTTATGATACAGGGAGTCTGTTCTACCTTGTGATTAAATAATGCAAAGTATTCAGTGAAAGCTCACATCAGTATACAGCATGACAATTCCACTAGTAATGCTGTTTTAAATGCTTCAATTATGGTCTCCCCTTCACAAAGCAAAGCATTTAGGTATGGGGGTTAAAGGATGCACTCATTCAGTAGTTCATGTCTGCACCCATCTAAAGCTCCGATATGATCCTTTGGGGAAATTCTCTGGTTTTACAGGAAAAAAAGTGGGCAGCTTCCTCTTCTTTTAATAACCCATAGCAAGACATGCCTGGAATGTATGAAGAGGACTTAAAAAACCTAAACAAACAAACAGACCCCCCCCAACAACAACAAATGGGGCAGGGGAGGAAACAACCCACCTTTTCTCTGAAAAGGGAGTAGGACATGTTTCTCAACAGCCTTCCATTTAGCTGTGTTCAGGATTATTCTGTATTATCCTGCATGGTCAATGACTTTGCTTTTCCAGCTGTTACACAAGGAGGTCTCTGACATGCCAGTTTGGAACAAGGTTTTGTTGTAGGAAATTAATCCTACTCTGACACAGGGGAGGCAATGGGTCCTGTTGGGAAGGGGACCTAGAAAGTTACAAGATGATAGAGAAAGGTAACCTGGTGCTATGTGAAAACACAAGAGAACGGTCATGTGGAGGCCTTGAAGACTGCAGAGACAATGTGGTACCTTTGAGTAGCGTGGAAGTGAGAAGGCACAAGCATGTCAGAACAGGTCAGAGAAAGGAAGGATATTATAGAAAACAACTGGTTTTAGGATTCCTTCTGAGGGCAAAATAACCCAGAAGATGAGCAAAAATATTATTGTTTTGGTCTTAATCTGCAATTTGAGGTGAGTGAGAAGCACTTCACAATGCATCTCCAATAAGTGTGTTCAGCTGATTTGTTTTATCCTGTCTATGACATTACTGGCATTGTGTCTGGTATCAGTTTGATTCGCTTCTGGGTATCAGAACCTACTAAATATTTTTCAGGTTAAACTACTCAGTTTATAGACTTTTATATACTTACTGTGTTAAAAAAAAAATATCACTCTGTTGAAAAATACTCTTTTTGAACATGATTGTTGTTAGTTCCCCATACCCAGGCCAGCTCTGATATCGTGCAGCTGTGTAACCTTGAATCAGCCTGCTGTGAAATGAGCTGTGGGGGAAGAGCTGTGAGATGCCACGTTGGGAGCCTCCTGCCTTTACACAGGAACAGCATTTAAACTCACCCTTGCCCTGTGCTGCAGCCTTTGCCTGGCTGTCCATCTGGCTGGTCAGACCCACTAGCCTGGCTGCCTTGTCCCTGCAGACTGCTGGCTGGCCCAGGCTGCTGCCTGGCAATGGCAAACCAGCGTAGGAAATCACAGAAAATTCCATCTCTATAATAAGGTAATGAAAACCCAGGGAAATCCTTCCAGCAATCATTTGTATTTCTTTACCCTTTGTCAAGTGATTCTATTAAACTCCAGATATCTTTAACCTTGGTTTTGGAAGCTGACAACATGCATGTTACGCTTAATGTTCAGGGATATAGTAATGCTATTTTAATGTCTAAACAAATTCACCAACACTGCTTAACTGCATTCAGTGGTTATCTTCATAGTACTGATGATATTCAGAAAGATGTATAGTTTTCTAGTTTCCACATATTTGACATACCACTAATAACTCCAAATACTTCCATTCTCTCTTTGCTCTGTAAAGCACTGAAATGAGCTGGTTGCCACCATTAAATCAGCATCTACTTTTCATAATGAGGACTACAGAAGTAGAGAAAAATAAAAAAACTTGTTTTTCTCATAGATAAGTATAATCTTCTTAACAGTATATAATTTATCTCCAAAAAGCATTTCACTGGCATCCACATGAGAGTCTGGCTTTGAATACAACAAAGCTCTGAGAAATGTTACTGGTGTAATATATTTCCACCAAAATCACCAATTTATCAGGACTGAAGTAATCCAAGACAATGTGCCAAATTTTGTACAAATGTTCACTTAAAAAACTTAATGGAAATGTTTTAAGAATACAGTGTTTCACTGTCCTACTTTAAAATTAATTTTTTCATATTGTACACTTAGAAATTTTTAAATTCATAACAAATTAAAACTTTTTGTTGCCACTTGAGATTAAACAAAATTTCAAGATGTCTCTTTTTCAAATTTTTCTTCCAGGTGCCAACTGAATAGATACCTACTTTTGCTTGCAATGTTCTTTGTTTTTCATGGCTGAGCTCCTGAGAAGTAACATATCAGGAACATGTGTTCCTAAAGCTTTTCTAGGCTTAAGCAGAACTGGAGTATGGACAACTGTTTCACTCCCTGGTATTTTAACATTATTGAATCATCTTACTGACATATTTGCTTAGCAAAGCCCAGTCTAAAATCCTAAACAGGCTGTCACTCATTTTTTTTGTGAGCATACTTATTTGAAATACTATGCCGAGTTGTTCAATCCTTGTGCTACTATAACGGAAAAGTCAGAAGCAACTTTTTTCTTCCTAAAAAACAAACACCAGATACTCTGAATTTTGCCTGATGGAGTTCTGTTGTGGTAAGGGAGTGATTTAGATGAAGTTTTCTAGTTGTAATTCATTTCATAGGTAAATTGTCAGAACTAGACACTTAAGTTTTGGCACTGCTTCCCCTCCCTTTCACGTGAGTGCTCATGTGTGAATTCAGACATTCAAAATCTAATTTCTGATAGGGTAGTACTTTAAGTACCATCAGGGATTTTAATTCTACTAGATCTTTACCATTTACCCCAGCTGTTCAAATAAAAAAAACAAAAATCTAGGCTTTACATATTAAAGTAAATCAGATCTAACCTTTACAACTGTGGTACAGGGTACTAATTATTCAAATAAGAAAATCTTTAATGTACCTACCTTTCTGCTCATGAAGATATAGATGACTGGATTATAAGCAGTGCTTGACTTGGCAAAGAAAGATGGGATGATAGCTACTGTTGGAGTTACAAGGTTGCTATAGCCATATGTTACCAGGAGGGAGACCACTGCATAGGGCATCCAACAAATAAGAAACGTGGAGATCATTAAGAAACACATTTTAGCCACCTTCTTTTCATATTTTAGAAGTTTGATCACTTGAACAGTCTGGAAATCTTCCACACAGTGAAGCTGTAGAAGAAAAATAAAATGATAAAGTAAAATAGCTCTATGTTTTACTTGAAACTGAATAGTTCCAAATTTATTTATAACTAACTAATTCACCAATTTAGTTTTAGGCACAGACACTATACACCTTATCTTGTGAACCATAATTCTTCTGGAAGTTTACATCATGCTTCCCAAACTTTTCCTGCTTATATTAACTGTAAAAATATGATCTGAGGAGAAATAGAATAGCAAATCTACTGGAAAACAACGAATCCAGTGATGTAATAAAACATGCTGCACTTACAAGTATTTTAGAAAACCAACTTTCCCTCATCCACTGGCATAAGCAAGTTCAGTTCACATTTAGTGGTCCTTTGTCTGACTAGTTAAACAATCCTGCAGATTTGTCTCATCAATATTTAGAGAGAAGAAAATTTCATTAATAGATTTCTGTACTGCTCTGCCACTTAGTTTGTTACCCTGAAATTATGAAAATTCTATTTAAAGCAGAGTATTAGGCAACAGCTTCCCAGTGTCATCTGAGTGAGTCATAAAATGAGGAAAAGATGGGATATGTACGTGAGTGTTCTCCGTAACAGTTATCAGTTTTGCCAGTATTGTTGACCACAAACTTGAATGGGCCCAGACTAGTTACCCACAGAATATGAAACATTAACACTTTCCGACACTAAAGATCTGAATTAAAATGGGTTGCCTTAACATGGAAAACTGGTTTAACAGGGCTTAATCTCCACTTGGAAGAGTTTTACAGGGTTATCTCCAAGAGTTGCAAAGAGGAGAGAGGAAGTTCCTTAATCAGGAGCACTGCAAACAGAGTCTTCTTCTCCCCCTATTTCAAGGGAGGACCTGATACGGATTAGTGAGCATGAGCAGTTCCTTAACCTGCCTCCCAGCAAAACTACACAACAAATGGATCTTGGTAGCTCCAGGTTGGTTCTCCTTCAGCCTTACATCCTTTCTAATGGTCCCTGATGTGGATGAACATTAAACATTCAAAAGTTTGATTAGGAAGTGAGAGTGCAAATTTAGGCTCTGATCCAAGCTTAATATACAGCATCAGCAATTTTCACTGAAAATATTACATTAAGAGAAGTCTTTTATTTGAATCAACTTACCATTCTTACTGCATATAGAATATGGCCATAGCAATAGGCCATGATCCCAACAGGTGCTACTAGACAGCTAAGGAAAAAAAGTAGCACAAAGGAGGCATCATTGGGGTCTTTTGACTTCCAGTCCACTGAACAACCTAATCCATGAATTTCCAGTGTGTATCTGTTCCAGCCCAAAAGAGGTGCTCCAGTCCAGGCTAATGAATAAAGCCAGATATATGTGATAGCCCGCCAAGACCAAGAGAAGTCAATCACTTTTGCATGGACTACTCGAATGTAGCGTTCATAGGCAAGAACAGTGAGAGTCATAATTGAAACAATTCCTGTAAGAAAAATAAAATAAAAACAATTAAATCATTCACAAACATTGCAAATTGGATGAAAGTCCTCTTGATAAATGTTTCCTTTGCTAGCAGGTTAACTCAAAATTAGCTAGCTCATATTCTGAATCTAACACCAATAAGCTTTTTGGGTGACACCCCTCTACTCACTAACTACTGACTCAAACAGGATCACTAACTTCAGAACTACTCAGAGTAAGGTGCTAGAATGATGTATGATGGCCAAGAAGTAGGACAAGGGCGGGGGAGAGAACAAGCTAATATTTTTTCCCTAAACATTATTTCATTAAGCAAGAGATTGTGCTACAAGGGGGCTTTTTTTGTTGGCAATTTTTGTGGGTTTTTTGGTTGTTTGGGGTTTGAGGGGGGGTGTTAAAAAAAAAATTAAGAAAAGGCTGGTATATAAAAATGATATAATTAGCAATAGCAAAATGTGTTAGAAACCTAGGCAATTCAGAGTTGAGACTGAAGTCAAGGAAAGCCTTCAACAACTGAAAGCATAGCAATGCGCCTTTAATGTGAACAAAATGACTAGGAGAATTCCAGCTTCTTTTGAGATTTCCCGTAAGTCTTTGCATTCCACAGAACATCTAGGGAAGCAGAGTATTACATTGCTGAAGGAGTCCCATCTGGAAGACATTGGGTTATATTGAGTGGCCTCTCCTGTCTTGCTGCTATCATAAAAATATCATAGTCTTCATTTCAATTATTCTTGTACTCTCCTCCTTTTCTGTCCACCTCAACCCCACTACACATTTATTAACGTGTTATGACAGAAACCACAGATTATTTTCAGCTCTCAGCATTACCCTATCTAGACACTTTTATAATTTGATGAAGTCAAGGCAATTCTTTCTTGATTAGAATATAAGGATTTCTGTTTCAACGGTCTGTGAAATCTAATGATCAAGAACCAATCTGCTCATCATGCATGTGTCAATCACCTGAAATCTGTTACAATTCAGTCAAACTCGTATACACAGCCTCTTAAACAACACAAAAGGGTGTATTTCACAGTACTCTGAGGTTATACAAGTACCTGTCTCTAAATTTGTGTACATTTTATCTAATAAGAAGCACACGTATTTTGTCATGCATACACAGTGTTTCATTTCTTCAAGTATGTTCACATTTGGCATAACGTGCATTTATACAACTGTGAGAAGGTTAAACATGCAGATTTCACTGCCAAAAAGAGAATAACCATTATATCCAGCAGAATCATTCAAAGGATATCATAGATATCTGATCTCACTTTTAAAAAAGGATAAGCGTTTAAGGAAGACAACAACAGCATGCTCAATCGCCAGCAACATGGATTTTAGGAAGGCAACTAAGAATAACAAAATCTAGATAAACACATAGCCTCTGTGTCAAAGCATTCATCAGCAAAACCAGCGTATTATTAACAAGTATCGCACAGAAGGATGTGCTTTAAGATTTCTCTAAGAAAGTTACTTTATCCTGCAAGTTTTAGAGGATCCCTTTTTATAGGTGATGAGTTTCGAGAGCTTTCTTGATTAACAGAAAGGATTTCCCACTCTGAAGGAAAACACGCCACATTCTTGTCATGGCTCTCTGAAATGCAACCATGAACTTTTTTTTTTTTTTTCCAAACATACATTTTTTTTCCAGTGTTATATTTAAACCTTCATCACAAAGAAGCAGATATTGCTGGACATGCAGAAGGCAAGGCAGACTACTTTCACAGTTAGTCTTGTGGGTTTTATTCTTGTATAAGTCATTGCTATAGGAATTTTGTTTCTATGGCTTGAAAGAGAAATTAGACTAGCAAATGTGGACCAGAGGATTTCCACAACACTTAAGGTTTGGTTGGTTGGGGTTTTTTTTAAATGAAGTTGATAGGAGTCCTTCCTGTCCTTTTTCAGGACCTAACATGCTGAAAATAGATTGAAGAATGTAGATCTAAACAAGATCTTAACAGGAAAATAGTTACAGAATTATACAGGTACTATTGTACACTTATACTAGCTCAGGTAAATGCTTTATACAATGAAATGGAGTCTACTTACTGAACACAAGGTAAAGACAAGAAATTCACCTGCCATTTCTCTGTGCCCAAAGACTAGGAAGTACAAAATTTTACCTGATGGTTATTAAAATCATCCACAGACATGTTTATGGAGGAAATTTACATCATTCAACTGTAGGCTCAGTTTGCTTACATAGTGCACTGAGGCTTTGTCTGTGATCAGTGGCTAGAAAGAACAGCTCCTCAGGATGATTAGTCAAAATTCCTCAATTAACCCCTTGCTCCTTACCACCTTCCTTCTCTCCCACTAGAAGGTCAGGGAAACCAGATGGATAAATAAGGTACCTACAATGCTATTCAATGACTAACATCCCTGTGTACTCTTGATATTTCCCATCAGTTTTTATACATGAGTACTGAATTCTGGCCACGACAAAGTACTCGAAAGCACACACGCTTGGTTGAAAGTACAGGTGTTCAGGAGCAGTAATTTACTGAGTCCTTGACATTTTCAAGGAAGTCATTGGAAGCTCAGTATCTCTAAAACTTTGTACTTACAAATAGATCTTTGAACGGTTTTAGCTCAAGCCCCTTCCAGTCTGAAACCAGTGCTCTTTAAATGGATACTTGAGTTTTCTACCCAAACCATAAAAGGGAGCTTGATTAACCTGTTGGACAGCATGTACTGAAATGCAAATCTCTGTTCTGTTGGTACTCAGGAAGTGTGTGGTAGCTTGTAGGCATGAGGCAAGAAATGCAGGTCACAGCATGTTACAGTAAATTTTTCTCTGATGCAGGATCTCTACTGTAACAAGGTCATAGCTGTAAGAGCAGAGGGTGAAGTAGTTAACCACAAAAATAGAAATTTGAAACAAAATGTCCTTGCAGGATAATACAAAATGTAGGGAATTTTGTCCCAAAAAGCCCCTCATGTGCTGTGGAGCCATGGCTGCCTGTGTATTTGTGGTAGATGGAATGCAGAAATACTTGTAAGAACAGGAATACCGAGGGAGAAGACACATTAACAAAATTTTGGTTTTGTTCTTGTTACTTCTGCAGTGGGCTACCTGACAGAGGAATTCATAAGAAAACAAAATTTCTGTGTCCCCAACAGGTAGAAGCTACCTTGCTAGTGTGCATCATATTTAAGTAAACATGTTTTTAAATGGGCAGATATGCACCTTTTAACTCTCAAATGAGGGATTACCAATAAACTACTTTTACCGAATGAGCTAAATTGAATGACAAACAGCATCTCTCAGCATTCAGACATTGTTTTTTTTAATAGGACTTCAGTACAGGCAAGGGCAAGACTAGAACAGAAAACAATTTCAATTTTCCCCCCCATTATGCATCTTTTCCATTCTGCATCAATATGCAACCAAAGCACATTTGATATTTCTAACAAAAACTTTGAGAAAGAAGCAGCACAGATTAGCTTGTATAACTAGAACAGCCTTATCGATAGACCACTGAAGTATGAACTGACTTCCATTATCTGTGAATGATCTGCAGCAACAACTAGAAACCTTATGTTATTTGAGTTTCCCAACTATTGGGAATTTCAGCTATTCTTTGTGCACACTTTGTGGCAACAAATTCCATTATGAAGCTGCAAAGCCATAAAACCAGAAAATGCCCAAGGGTCTTGTACAACTCTAAGGACCGAGAGCTGGAATATGCTGCCTGCCGACTCCACACTTAATGATAAGAACTAATAACGCTCACAGCAGCAAAAGTCTTGAAAAAAGTCTGTTCAAACTCAACATGCCACAGTCAGTGCGCAACATGCATTTTGATAGTCTGCAGGTTTTTTTCATATGCTAATAGCACTGTCAAGTTCCAACCAAATTTCTGCAAAAGACAAAGTAAAAAAAATATTTCATGAGTTACTTTTATCTTATTTGGGTAATTACCTGTACCTCCTCTGCACTGATCCCAAGGATGGAAAAATTCTTCTCAAATGAGGAAATTATGATTAAATGAGAAGTAGGGAAGGGAGAATTTATACATTTTTGGTAGGTGAAATTAATTCAGCTGGACATTAGCTCTGATGTCAAGGGATGGTTTCAAGCAGCAGTTGCAATACATTCAACATCCTAGAGAGTACTGCTGGAACTTTACAGCTCTTGTTATGATTAACGAAAGAGTTACATTTCCTTCTGAGATTTAGTTACTTTTTTCCTCATGGTAATCAAGGATTCTATTAAATCCACTCTATTAACCTATTAATGCCAATTACAAGATAGCAAAAAAAAAAAAAAACAACCACACATCTAAAGATGCATCTACAGAGTAATTGTTAAACCTACAGCTAAAGTCATAGTTTTCACGAAGTAAGCCAGAGCTTTTCACAAGGGTTATCTGGATGTATAGTTGAACAGGGTTCAGTAAGAAGTCATTTATTTTGAAGTCACCCACAAATGGATTTCAGGGATCATTTCTTAAAAAGCCTGCTTCTAATACATTCCTGTCCCTAGCAGACTTATCTGCAGAGGTCTAGAAGTCAGTTTTTAATCAGATTTTCCATCTTTAAAGAAAATAGTTTTTGAAAGAAAACAGTTTCTGAATCAATAGCAAATAAGCTTGTAACGTACATGCTTATCAGTTTGCCCTTGAAGCCAAAGCTGTTATACCAAAATAATTTCCGTAAAAGCTAATCCTCTAGATTGATGTGTTTTGTTCTGCAAGGAAGAGCAATGAAACTGGTGAAGGGTCTAGAGCACAAGTCTTACGAGGAGCGGCTGAGGGAGCTGGGGTTGTTTAGTCTGGAAAAGAGAAGGCTGAGGGAAGATCTTATGGCACTCTACAACTACCTGAAAGGAGGCTGTAGCAAGGTGGGGGTCGGTCTCTTCTCCCAAGTAACAAGTGATAGGATGAGAGGAAACAGCCTCAAGCTGCGCCAGGGGAAGTTTAGGTTGGATATTAGGAAAAACTTCTTCACCGCAAGGTTAGTCTGGCACTGGAACAGGCTGCCCAGGGAAGTGGT